TGCTGCGACAATATTACCAGCATCATAAATGACACAATTTCAAAAATACATAATAAAAATGAATTAAAAAATAAATATAAAAACACGTAAAAATCTCATTTTCAAAATATTTAAAAAAGCGATCCAAAATAAAAGGCAAATATATGCATTTTTAAACAGTAACAAATTTTTATTACAAATTTACCCTATTTAGCGTTTGCTGTCAAACATTTTTTTATTTTTATTTTTTTGTCAAAAGGGTGTTGGCTGGATTTATTTTGATTTTCTTTTTTTCTTTTTCTTTTTTCCATAAAATTTAATTTCCTTTATTCGGACACGGAAGCTCGCGTTGGTAAGCGAGTCACGTGACTGCTCTCCTGCCAAAGCAGTAAATATCAGGCGAGCTAACAGGCACAGGCTGTCCAGCTACTCCCTTGTTTCAGTCAGAACAGAAAATGTGTCATTATCTAACCTAACCAGCTAACAGTCCCGGAGTCTGTGGCTTCTGCGGTGCGTTTCGCCGAGCGATGAACCGACAGCCTCAGTCGTGACTGTGACGGAGGCTCGTCCATTTAAATCTGTGGTGACTTAGCTAGCTTCACAGGTTAGCTTAGCGCTAGCAAGCTGCGTCTGGAGGAGCTTTCGTTGCTAGTGACTATGCAAGGGGAAACTACGGCTTTGCGAATCACGGAAAACGAAGGGAAGCTGGATGTATTTCCCCAGAACAGGACCCCCAGCTCGGGGAGAGCAAGTGCCAAAAGCTGGCAGTATAGGTGGGTGGCAGTTTGTCCTGCTAACGCTCCAACAGTCAAGCTAGTTCACTCATGAAGGTGCATTTTGTTTACCTAGCGAGAGAGTGACGAGGGGAATACCTGTAGTTGAGCAACTGTTTTCAGTTTTTGTAAATTGAGTAGTGTTTTGTGTGTGTGTGTGTATTTGTAGGGGACTCATATTGGGTAATCTGTTATTAAGCAATACCCTGATTGCCTTGTGTGTTTACCTTTTAGGGTGTGTACTCAGTGCAAGTATTTTAACGAGTGTTTTCCTCTTTCTCTTGATCAATCCTCCCACCAGCGACCACATGGAAAATATCGATGGCTACTTAATGAAATACACAAACCTGGTGACGGGGTGGCAGTACAGGTGAGTTTTGTTTAGCACAATGCCACACTGATGTCCCACATGAGGGTAATGAGGGGGAGCTGTCTCATCAGGATTATGGCAACTTGTGATGTTGCAGGTTCTTTGTGTTAAACAATGAGGCGGGCTTGCTGGAGTATTTTGTCAACGAGCAGTCGCGGCCGCAGAAGCCCCGCGGCATGCTCCCCCTGGCCGGAGCCGTCATCTCCCCCAGTGATGAGGACTCGCATACCTTCACTGTCAACGCCATCAGCGGGGAGCAGTACAAGCTCAGGGGTGAGTACCTGTACGAAACACACACTGACCTCTCACAATCTTGAGTAAATTTAAGTTCTTTTGGTGGATCCGTTGGAATCATTTGCATCACGGTAGCTGGTTGTCGTGGGCTCCTCTGAGCGTAAAAGCAGAGCTTTCCATGTCAGTGATGAGTGTCAGCTCCACATATAACTCCAGACCTCCTGTCATCACCATCCATCTTGCTCATACTGTATTGATCTGGATGTTTTCCATTATCTGCTGCCGGTGAGGCAGAAGCACACGGGAATCGATGCTGAGTAAGATCATCCGAGAGTAACTGTAACAAGGTTCTGCCTTCTTTTTTTTTTCTTTTCTTTTTTGTATGTATGTCTCAGCCACCGATGCCAAAGAGAGGCAGCACTGGGTCAGCAGACTGCAGATCTGCACACAACACCACACAGAGGCCATGGGGAAGGTAAGACCACGAGTATATGAGCACATATTAAAAAGAATCATGTTAAAGGTCCCATTTTTATTGGGTTTTATTGTTGTTGTTATCTTGGAGGACTAAACTAAGAGCTGATAAGATATGAAGATGTTTACTTCCTCTATTCCCCAAGCCCCCCCTACAACCAGACAGCCTCCCAGCCTTTCACATGAGTGACGATTTGACCTGTGTGCTATATATCACTACAAACCAATAGTCCTTGAGCTCAAAATTTGTTTAACCCTGTAAGCCTGTAAACAAGGACTGGGTGGTTACTGGCTTTCCATGGCAGCTGTTGTGCTTCAGTACAGTCTAGGGTTTATGTCTGTTTGCATCCCTCCTGTTCTCTGTGCCCACATATACTGCATTTCAATACAGCTGAATTACCAATAAAGCTGTTTTCATTCACATTTTTTTCAGTTTCTGTTGTCAGACAATGGAACGAGTGTGAAAAAGTGACTGAAGCGCATCCTATTAAGACTACACGTTACCCAGCAGTCACTTCAAAGATGTTTAGCAAGCTGTGACTCTGCATTGCTAAGCAACTGATTTCCATTGTTGTCGACAAACTCACCATGCACGCATTTCTGTGTCAAATGATCACTTGGAGAGAAAGTTAGAAGCAAGAAAGTCCTGGTTTCATGCACATTTACATATATCAGCTGTCAGTTGTTTTTCTTCACGCTGCCAAACACAGACACAGAAAGTCTTCTTCCTGAAAGTGGCGAGGACAGCAGCAGGACAGTGGTTTCTAGAGCTACACACACTGAAACAGCCTGATTGGAACAAGGCTAAAACCAGGGTTTATACAGTCATGGTGAAATGAACCATTTTTGTATTATGTTTTCGCTGAAAAAACCCATGACAGGGACATGTGAGAGACTAGTTAATTTGCTGAAAAGAGGCACAATATGGGAGCTTTAATGTTTGTAAAGATCACCCCCATGCTTTTTCTTGCATGCATTTATTGCTAATAACAATATCTATTTAAATTATAGCCTTTTTATTGTTACGCTTGTGTACAGTTCGTATTGTCCCGTGCTGTCATTAAATGTGCGACTGTGATTCGGCAGGACAAAAAGAATAACTTTGGCGTTGGACTTAATTTTAAGCTTCATCATCTGAATCCGACATGTGAGCGGATGTGAGCTGGACACTTTTAGCTTCCTGTTTTCCTTCCTCCCCTGCCAAAGGAGCAATCAGACAGAGCTAGTGGCAGTGCAAAAAAAAAGAAAAGAAATCTGCACGGCTGTGAAATATTAATGTTTATATAAAAATGTATCAGGTTTTGCCCTGTGTGTAAGTGCAGCGATCATTAGTATTGATCTGGTTATTGATCTACAAACTACTAAGCCGGCTGTGAGGGATTAAAATGGTCTTGAGATACAGGAGAGCTGCAAACACAGAATTCTCCAAAGGCTCACTCCTTAGCAGTGGGTGGAAAAAGTCAGGAGCTGTGTTTAAAAGCTGTGAATTTTATTTAAAGATAACAAAGTAGTTGTTATGCTAGATATATGCACTGTTACTGTAGCTGTGAAATGACTGCTGGTAACACCTTGAGATCTTTTTTTCCCCCACATATAACAGAGTATTTGTCACGGTTTTACACTCTGGTTGCACCTAAGAGAACTGAGCTAGTGATTTTTGGTCTAACAACATTTTTGAAACGTTCCACATTGCACAGAGTAATCCCCCACCCAAGTCCCGGAGCTACTCGATGGCGTCCCAAGGCAGCGGCAGCTCCCCCATGAGCCTGCGCCGGCCCAGCCAAAACCCCGCCTCCTTGTTCGGCTGGTCGCAGGTCCACAAGGGCTCGTCGCTCTACTCCAGCAAGAGGTCTCTGCTGCCTGATCACCTGATGGACGCCAGAGAGGTACACGGTTAAATGTGTTGTCAACCAGAACGTGTATTTGGCACGTAAACAGGACTAGTAGTTGACTTTATATGAATTATCGTATCATAATCCAGGGTTTTTCCTGTGTAGAGGATTTATTAGGAGTGTTTAGCGAGCACCAAAGAAAATCCCACAGTGCCAAAATAGAAAATGAATATATCCTGACCAGTTTTGTTAACTGGTGTTATATTTACTCAAGCAAAATAGACATTTTTGTTCATCAATTGCTCATAAAAAAGAAGAAAAAGTGCAGATTTCTGTCAAATATGGTAACATCCTCCTCCTAAAAAGCCAGGAAGAGTCCTGTTCTCACAATACAAGTGTAGCTTTAGATGGTTTTACCATTTAAAATCTCATTCTAATGCTATTTTAATTCATCGAACCCTTGACCCACCACACTCCTGGTAGCATACATGCAATGGGATGTTTGGACAAGCTTTTTAAAATCTACATTTGATGCAGTCAGAACTTGCAGAATAGATATTTACAGATACACACTGGGAGCTATAAAGGTCTCTGATTTATGTTTCAAGCTGCTAAATGTTATAGTCGGGCACCATAATGTGTGGAAAAGAATTAGATGAGTGTCCTAAATAAGGCTGACGCTCTACTCACAACACTATGTTTTATTCATGTTTAAATTTACGGGCAGTGTCACTGTTTATTATGATATGTGGCTTCTTAGAAATACAAGCAACATTAAGTACAACAAGGCAGCAAGTGGTAAATATGAAATATTTAAGGCTTGGTTTAAAGTGGGCTTTGCTGATGGAGATTTGTAGAGTTGGGAATTCTAGTCTTCACTTAGACTCCGCTGACCGTCCACAAGGGAGCGCTGCTGTCTTTACGTCATAATACAGGATGAGAACAGAACTTTGTTCAGCCGTAAAACAACAAGAGATAAAGTTTTGGTTCCAGCTACTCATCACAACAGGGTGGTTGGTTCCCAGGACCAAGCTTTGAATAAACATCCGTGCAAACAATTTAACAAGCGTAGATTTAAAATAGAAGGAAAAAAGTTTTGCTTGTGTAATGCTGCCTTGTCTTTCTTGCTTTTGCAGTGTTTAGTTTAACGGAACAAGACTATTCACTGTCATTCAGACATGCAATATCTGTCAGATTCATGATATAGGACATCACATTTAGTGACATTAATGCATCGTAATAAACAGAAGACTAAATCTAAATTAATAGCAAGCTTCTCAAGCTGTACAAACAACTAGTTTATGTGTAATCATCCAACACGTACTTCAATAAAAACGTCCTGATAGCTGTGATGGAGCTCACCTGAGGACAAACACTAAAATATTTAACTGTAGCTTGCAAACTGTGGAACAACTCACCTGTCTGAGGGGAAGAAAAGTGTGGCATGTTAGCTCTGGACAGATTGTGTCCTCCAGTTGTTCCACATGTGTGTTGCTACTCTCTGACTCTGGAGACACTCAGTGGATCTGTCTGATGCAACAAATATTTTGTGTTAACTTCGATGAAACACTCCTGCAAATATCTGGATGCAACAAACTGAACTCCACCTTTTATTTTTATTTTTCAAGCCAGGATTACATTCATTATTTTAATAGATTTTAATTAATCTGACTTGTTGCAGTTTGTCTTTATTGTTTTAAAATTGCATTTTTTAAATAAACCTTTCAGTTTGTAATAGATGTGAAGTTGTGGGTCAGAGTGAGTGAGAGAAGTGGGTATTGGTGCTGAAATGTGGAAACGCTTTCCCCAAATCTCTTTACACAACTTAAGATATCTGTAAATGTGATGAAGTTTCGACTTGTGCTGTCTTGAAAGAGATCCAGAAGTGTTACAAGATCGGAAAATGTAGTTGAATCTTCTCCAGAAAAAAGACCAGACACGTTTAGATGTGTCAGCTTAACAGGAAGAAAAGGACTTATGTCAGAGTTCTCGTCTCAAAACATGGATGCTGTTCATACATGACAAAGGCAGTCGGGCTAAAAGATCTGCTTTAATTCAACCTAAATCAACAACGGCACAGACAAAGTTCATCAGCCCTTTGGAACACTCTATTTATTTTTTTACCCCCAACTAACCACAACATCTACATGATTTTTCTCCAGATGATGAGCCAGGCCCAGGGCCAGCACAGAGACCTGATCCAGAGCATCGAGGGCCTCCCCGCGGCCCCGGGCCTCTCCCCTCTAGACCAGGATCTGCTGATGCTCAAGGCCACCTCCATGGCCACCATGAACTGCCTCAACGAGTGCCTGCACATCCTGCACCTGCAACAGGTGGCCAGGCAGAGAGGCTCCCTGGGAGGTCAGTTGAGGGCTGGTTTTGTCTATCAAAATAAAGTGGTTGTTGCTTCCTCAGGTACAAAGTGCTTTTTGCTTAGAGTCCACCGGTTAAGTGTTGTTGTCTTCTAAATAAGCTGCAGTCCTTAAAACAAATCATAGTCTTGCACCTGCAGGTCAGCATCCAATCTAGACGAGCAGTTTGCGCTGGCTGGACAGTGGAATTATTTTGCATTATTGATAGGGAACCGTACCTATTCTTACCACCTGTCTCGAAGGTAATTAGATCTCAGATAGTTAAATATCCATCTGCAACACTTTGAGGGCAGGACGCAGCTCTAATTCAGCTTCATATCGGAAAAGTGTACAGTGAGGTTAAAGTTAGAGAGCGCACGGTAAAGTGTCCGGCTTCACTCATGTCTTGACCGTTTCTATTCATTTGAAACGGGAAAACGTGTCCCACTTTTTCACAGCAGATCTCATTACTCAATGTATATTTCATCAGGCCAGACTCATCGGCGCAGCCAATCAGATTAAGTTGTCCGACGACACACACAAGGTGAATTTGAATGAGATCTGCCCACCTCTAAACGTACATTAGGAAAAAGAAAAAAAAATGCCCACGCCATACCGAGAGGGCTCAGCCAATCAGAGGACGGGGATGTTTCCTGTCGGCGGGGCCAAAGTATCCTGATACCTGGCTCGCCGGAGGAGTTGGGTTACAGTCTTTTGGTCGAGGGCAGCTGCCTGAGGAATAGCCATCTGTCCAGGGAGGCAGCAGCCAGGAGATTGTGGGGTGAATGGTGGGCCGAGTGTAGTGTGTGTGTGTGCAGCTGTGAGTGTCGGGGGGCCTCAGGAGGGAGGGGGGGGACAGGACCATGAGTACCTCTGAACCTGTGCACTCCCCGTCCACGGCAGGACCCACCATCGAATGGCTGGAGCCCAAACTGCCCGACATCCTGAAGAACGGCAGCAGCTCCCTGGGAAGCTTCACCACAGGGGAGGGCGCGCTGGAGGGGAGCCGCCTGGAGCTCAGCAGCCCCGAGTCCTGCAGCTTCTCTGGGGTAAGATTAAGACGCACACTCCACTAGGAAACCGCTATCTATACGGGAGACATTAGGAAGTTGGCTTGTTTTTCACCCTAATTCTCTCTAATGCACCCATAAACCATTAAATTTCCGTTTTATTGCTTTTAAAAAAAATAATGAGCAGTTGTGTAGTCTCCCACTCACTTCTGCGGAGTCTCTCAGATCACACTCCCCCTTTCCTCTCTCAGGAACAGGAAGACATAGATGGAGACGATGAGTCGGAGGACTGCTTCACGGACAAAGAGGAGGACCTGGGCGCCGTGGAGGAGGAGCGCAGCGTCATCCTACACCTGCTGTCGCAGCTGAAGCTGGGCATGGACCTCACACGGGTAGGTCGAGTTCCACATACCGCCAAGCAGCGAAAAACCACTCCTGAAGCACCAAGCGGTTTTGACAAAGCTTTCTTTGTTGTGTCAGACGAAGACGGGTTGGATCAATAATGCACAGTAAGAGGTGAAATATAAGTTGTCTGAGTGCTTCAGTAGGTGGAGGGAGGGAACTGGAGGTATTTATAATCATCAGAAGTGTCGAGGCTCGTTAAAAACGACTGAAGGTGTAAATGGTGCTGAAACTGCCAGGGGAGGGATGTCAGGACGCCTCCTGGATGAGAGGGAAACGTCATCAAGACAAAAAAATAAACAAACTCCAGCTTCCTTCGACTGAAACACTTTAGATTGCCATGACCTGAATGCCTGAGAATCTACAGACAGATACTTGTTGTCAACTTTCTTTAACAGTTTTCTTATTAAAAAAAAAAAAAAAAGGAAGTGTCCCTGCATGTTTTCCCATACTGATACTTGTCATGATTTTTAACCGTAAAGTGGTTTTGGTTTAGTCGCTATTTTAAAACGAAAGTCAGCCATAAAGTTAAAGGACCCATTATTGTGTAAGTTGTTTTGACCTTACAGACTGACGTGAGTGCTTCTTGATTTCAGAGAATACATTTTAGAGTTACATAAAAACAACAAGACTCGAAGCCTGGGCAGACATTCTATCTTTCAGTGTCGGTTTGTTCTAGTATTTGGATAGCCTCCTCTTGGGTTTCTGATTTATCACAGTTATCTGGTGGCCCCATTGGCTGACCTCAGATGGAGATCTGGTAGATGCTCTGACCACAGGGTCACGTCCAGCGGACGTCACGAAGCCACGCGCTCGATTTACCGATTGTAAACCATGAGGCGATGCACGAGGTTTTATAACATACATGAGCACGAGAAATAATGGCTGAGATGGGAATTCCAGTGATTTTGCTCAGTGCTGTTTAAAATGAACATACAGAGCTGTTGATAACTAGACATACAGCTTTTGAAATATTTATTAGACCACAGTGACCACTGGCTTCTGCTTCTTCTTTCGCAGCTCTTGGTCGAGTTTTCTTCTTCAGTTTATTGGACAGTCTTTTTTGCTGATTCCTCTTTGTGAAGCACTAGATAACTGCCTTCTCATCAAATTCTCTTCTTTGAGGCATTGTTGAATGATAACAGTTCAGATTATCTGTTGTCGTTACATCTACAGCTTGTGGAAATGATGGTGATTCAGATCATTTTTTTGGTTATTTTGTGTGTATTTTTACGTTTTCTGTACATCCAACTTTTAAACATAACTCATTGCGTGTTTAAATTAAGACTTTTTTTCATGTCTTCTCAAATATTCTGTCATTATTTTGCCGCTATTGCAAAATAACAATTGATTATTAATGTTGAAGGTGAACTAAAAATGTTTCCCAAAGCTGCATTTACAAAATCATCCGTCAGTGTCCACAGGAAGTAATCAGAATCTCCCTCCATCGTCCCTCTAGGTGGTGCTCCCCACCTTCATCCTGGAGAAGCGCTCTCTGCTGGAGATGTACGCCGACTTCATGTCCCACCCGGACCTCTTCGTGGCCATCACCGACGGCAGCAGCCCGGAGGACCGCATGGTCCGGTTCGTGGAGTACTACCTCACCTCCTTCCACGAGGGCCGCAAGGGCGCCATCGCCAAGAAGCCCTACAACCCCATCATCGGCGAGACCTTCCACTGCTCCTGGAACGTCCCCAAGAGGCCCGACGCCCCCAAGGAGCCTTCGCAGGGAAGCCCAGACCCCGCGGCCGTCGCCCAGGACTCCTACCAAGTGCGCTTTGTGGCGGAGCAGGTGTCCCATCACCCCCCTGTGTCGGGGTTCTACGCCGAGTGCCAGGAGAGGCGGATGTGCGTGAACACACATGTGTGGACCAAGAGCAAGTTCATGGGGATGTCCATTGGAGTGTCCATGATAGGGGAAGGTGAGCAGCAGGGTTTGAGAAAACAGCAGAAAAGATTCACCTGAACAAGCGAGTTGTACTTTCCTTTTATTGCCCCGATTGGTTTTAATTGATTTTCCTTAGAGAGAGGAAAGTAGACCTGATCTAAACTTCCCCATTTCCTACTACAGCTTCAAGTAATTAATGACCTTTATCACCGACTGGCAACAGCAAGGATAGAATTTACAGTATCGCTTTCTTCAGAGCACCTTATTCAGTATAAATTACTCATTTTTGTTGTAGCTAACCCTCTAGTATTTGTATTTTTCTATGTGATTGATTCTAATATTTCCGTCTTCATTTATTTCCCAGGTTGTCTGAATTTGCTGGAGCACGATGAAGAGTACACCTTCACGCTGCCCTGTGCCTATGCACGTTCCATCCTCACCGTCCCCTGGGTGGAACTGGGCGGCAAAGTCAGCATCAGCTGCGCCAAGTCGGGCTACTCGGCAGTCATCACCTTCCAGACCAAACCCTTCTATGGTGGCAAATTACACAAGTGAGCTTTACTTTTGGTGCAAGTTCACATACATGTTTGTTGCTTAGTTTTGTGTCTTTTAGATGGTATGTCATCCCACTGCTGTCTTATGGGTTGGACTGGAAAAACAATTAGCAACACAAAAGCAACATGACTTTTGGCCTTATACAGTTTTATATATTGTTCCAATCCTGCAGCTGTTGAATGATGAGTATAAACAAAATTAGATTCCGTCTTTAACGTCTCCTTCTCCTTCTGTATTCAGGGTGACAGCAGAGGTGAAGCATAACACCACCAACGCTGTGGTGTGCCGCGTGCAAGGCGAGTGGAACGGCGTGTTGGAGTTCAGCTACACCAACGGAGAGACGAGGGTGGTCGACGTCACCAAGCTGCCCGTGACGAGGAAGCGCGTCCGGCCCGTTGAGAAGCAAGGACCAACCGAATCCAGGTCAGTGGGCGTGGAGTCTTTGTGTTGATTTTAGCTAGTTGTCATAATAAACTTCACCTGTGTTAATATGTTTACATCCTCTGCTTTTCATGCAAGTCCACACAGATCAGAAATCGAATTCACATCCCTTCTTCTTGGTAGAATTGCAAATATTGTTTGCAGCGAGGTGCATATAAAATGAACACGTTTGTTTGTGTGGAATTAGCAATTATATTGAACTACAACCTGCATACAGTTGTGCATCTGTCTCTACACCCTTTATTCTGGTTTGAATTACTCATAAACCCGTCAGAGCAATATGATAATGTTATATCACAAGACAGAACGGAACTGGAGCTTTGTAGTGATGCTTGTTGCATGTTAATACCAAATTAATAATGTCAGGAAGAAAGATCAAGTTTCACGCTCCTGCTTCTGGTATGAATAAGCTACAAACTAGTTGTTTGTGCACCAAAGAATAATCTGGTTTTAAAAATTACAGCAACTGTCTGCATTGTCTCCAACATTAGGGCAACATTATCTCCAAATTTCTTTTAAAAAATAAACTCAGAATGATGCTTTTCATTGGAAACTTCATCCTGGTTTGTCACCTGTGAAACTAGGCTTCTGTTTGCTTCAGAATTAAGCTCATATTTGTCCCAAATTCTAAGTCATCATGGTGCTGATGTTGCAGGATTCCTGACAATTATGATAAGATAGGTCTACTGTGAGCATTTCATGACGAGACACATCAAAAAAAGGTGGCAATTTCATAATAAAAAAGAAGTTTTTTTCATCTTTACATGAAGGCAAATTTAAAAAATCTACAAGTATTATCATAACAACTGATGGAAGCTCTAGATAGCCTAGACTGTTCTGAGAAAACCATCATGTATGGGTAAAGAGCAAAAGCAAAGTGAGCCGAACAGCCTTAATGCTCTCGTGGTTAATTACTTCACTGCTTTTCAGGCGCCTGTGGCAGCACGTGACGGAGTCCTTGCGGCAGAAAGATATCGAAAAAGCCACAGAGCACAAGAGGATCCTGGAGGAGAGGCAGCGGACGGAGGAGAGGCACCGCGCCGAGACCGAAACCGCTTGGAGGACCAGATACTTCGACAGAGAGGTGAGCAGCTCCACGATCCGTAAGAGCTCGTTTTATTGTGAAGTAAGTAGGGTCAGAGCATAGTGAATTCCTAGCTGGATAACGAAGAAGAACACGTAAGACGGCTTCGGCTACCTGCGCTGACTCGAAATAAATTTTAAATAACCTGCAGCATAATTTCTGTCTCTTGTCGGAGCTTCTCCATTTCAGAGTGTTCTCGTATTGCACTTTACATTTCCCAAGGAACTGGGTCATTTAAGTTGACAACACAGCACAGGGATATTCAATCGTAAACCTGTTTCTGTACAAGATAAAATCATCTAATTTCCGATCCTGAATCCATAGCTTTACTGTATCGATCACAGCTCATGTTCACGCCTTCATCAGAAATATTAATCCGTTGACACCATCTCTCCTCCTCTTCCTCCTCCAGGGTGAAGGCTGGGTTTATCACAAGCCGCTTTGGAAAAACTCCGCGTTCAAATCCTAGTTTCTCCAGTCTGTATCTTGGATGTCCATATTGTAGATTCAGGAATGCGTGTGAGAGAGAGAGAGAGAGAGAGAGAGTGTGTGTGTGTGTGTCCGAGCACGCACGTGGAAAGCATGACCTGCACTGACGAACGCGACGCCGGGGGAGAAGGACGGACAGATGGCATGACCGAAGGCGTTCTAACTCATGACGTTCACAAAGCCTCCTTAGTACAAGTTTTTGTACAGCTGATCAGTTGTTTTTTTCTTCTTTTTTTTTTATAATCCAATGTCATGGAAACATATTCTTGTACAGGTAACGGTACTCTATTTACACAGCCTTAACATAGTCTGATGAATGAGTTTGGGTTCGGTTGATCAACCAGGATAAGGTTCTTCTTCTTCTTCTTCTTTTTAAGCTGTAGTTTCACACGTTGGTGGAGTTTCTTCTTCAAACAAGATAAAGAAAATATTCAGAGTGCTGCCTGATAAATTCCACTGGAGATGGGATTCTGTGTATTTCAGTGTTGATCCTGCTGAAACAGAAGCACTGTTATCGAGTATATTTACACACACACACTGTTGTTTTGATCTGGACAATACTTTGACTATAACATTTAAGATTAAACGTGTTAATAAATGAACTTATTTGGGAGAATTGTGAGGGACGGATTGAGGGAGGAGTGGTCCATCGCATCAGTTAAGACCTAAAAAACACCAGAGCTTCGAGTTCTTCTATTGCATCGGATTAAATTTAACATTTTAAAGCTGCCGTTTGGAGGAGTTTGCATCTCCTTCATGGGTCTAAATTCGATCCTGGGGAAGTTATACTGATCAAAAAGGTCCCTGCTTAGGTTAGAACTTAAAAGTTAAAGACTTTTATGGGTTGGGGTGACAGCACTGGATACTTTTTGCTGTGTCACCTTTTTGCTGGACTAAAGTAAAGCTGTATTTGGTGGCTTAACTCTGCAGGTACAAGATAGAAAGAGAGACCTCAGCATGAGCTCCAAGTACGCCAGAATAACGGGTATTGGACATGACTAAACTCGAGGACATCAAGAGGGAAAAAAAAAAGAAGCCACTTTTCCCATATTAAGCAATCAGAACCACCTCAAGCAGGTACCTTTTTTGTTTTCTACCCAAAAAACTGCCTTGAAAGAGCTCCTGCATGGGCAGTTTTTGCAATCAGAAGGTTCAGGCAGCCTTAAAACATCTGGAAAATGGCTTATAGTTGCTCAAAATAATGCCTAAATACTCACTTTGTCATATGTCAGATGACTAATTTGCCTAAAAATAAGTTCCGGAGGGCGAAACACAACTCACAACATCAACAAAAGCCACAAAACACGTCACTGAAAGTCCCTTTATGAAGCATTTCTAGGTGTATAATCACATCATGCATGCTGTAAAACACTCGGGTGTTGCAGATTTGTCTTTGGGAACGTGAGTCTAAGCCAGTGGTTCTCAAACTTTTGGAGCCACGGCCACCAAGATAACATAAGTTTGTGTTTGTGACCCTCCAATCTGAATCGCTAACATGGCATGAATGAATAAATTTATTTCGAACAAATTAAAGGGAAAAAAAATATAAAAACAAAAGAAAAAGAGCATAATATCGCATCATCAAATCATAATATTAACAAGTTCAAAAAAGGAGCAAGAACAAGTATACACTTCTAATTTTAACAGCCCTAATACACATTTATTTGATAAATATCGGCTTTATTTTTATTTTTTACAAATGATCTGGGGACCCCCTGAAATTATCTTGGGACCTCCATGGGGGTCTCAACCCCCAGTTTGAGAACCACTCCTCTACCATTATGATTTTGACTTGCGAGCGAGTAAACTGGAGACAAACACTGAACATTTATATCTTTAACGCCTCATATCCTCCTTTATATCTGCCTCAGTGTGTCACAGATCTAATGACAAACTACATCCAATAGTCAAAGTATTCCCTCTATGCTGATGATGAACTCTTGTGCATTCATATACACAGAACTTAAAGCAATCAGCTCTAAATTCTTATTTACTCATTGTTGAATGCTATGAATATTGATATTTATCGACTGGGTCGCCCCGTCTTAGTCTAGCTGACAAATAACCAAATTTAAGCATCTAAAATTCCCACTTTGTCTATTTTAATCCTGCGGTTCTGCAGTGTGTCTAGAGGGGGAAAGAAAAAATCCTTCATGCATGATGGCAAAAGTCTCCATTCACACTGATCGCAGCACCCACTTCAATTTCTAAATGTCTATTGTAAAAGCTTTTAACCAAATTCGCTTGTTTTGTAATGCAAATCAATATTTTCTTTGATTGCCTGTCTTTCCCCCTCCCCCACTAATCTTTAATCGCTCTCATTTTTAGAGCCACTTTTTGTATAGACGTTAAACTTCCTTTCCCTCGCCTCTCTCAAACCTCCCATCATCCCATCGGACTCCCTCCAGAAAGAGGACATCCCACCCTGCCATCGATAAGCTACATCCCTCCCAGTCTCGGTGCCTTACGCAACTCTTTCTGTGCGCGTCTTCCGGCGAAGGAGCGCAGCGTTTTCATCAGTTACTTAACCTGACCGATGCAATGGCGTATGCATTGTTTGTGTGTGTGTGTGTGTGATTTTGATTTGTTTTTTTTCCTGTTTTAAGAATCAGTGCTTGATGTTTGGAGAGGCCGACCGAGCACTTGCTGACCTATGAAATGCACTGAAGGAAACCCGATGTTGTAGAAGAAGATGTGTGATAATATACGAATAAATTGCGTATCAGTTGTATTCTGTGTTTTCAGTTTTGTTCAGCTTGAATAGAATCACTGTTTCAATCAGGATGACATTAAAACACCTCATTATGTCAATTTAACTGAACAATTAGCATCAGTTCAGTTTACTTTTGCTGCCAAGGCCACAGACCAGACATGAAGTCTGAGCCTTTTATGCCACAAGAGGGAGTTTTCTCTTCTGTCAGGAGGAAACAAAGGCAAAGCTGTGCACCGGACTGTGGTGTTAAAAGAAAGGCTGGACAGAAGTGTGTAACAATGAGCTCAGTGTTTTGTTTTGTTGTTTTTTTTTGTATTTTGCAGAACAGAAAGTAAAAGATTGAGACAATAATTCACACTTGAACACTTTGGATCTGTGAGCAACATTCACAGAACACAAGATCCATCTTCAGACCGACGATACTGATCATTAAAACTTAACAGATTATAGATGTATAAAATGGAACAATTAAGCCATAAAAAATGTCATTCCATGACCACAGAATAGTGAAATAAAGTGTTGTGTATTTTTAGTTTTATCTCTACTTTTTATTTTTGTCAAATTCTACATATT